ACTGTCTTGTCTCTTATGGGACTTGAGACTGTGTGAGATACCCTGACCAGGGCACCTTGAAGCTGATGGGGAAAGGAATATTGCCCTTGAACCACCTTTCTGGCATGGACAAGTAAGGAGTGATCTCCCTTCAGCAGAGAGGTAATGGGAGCCTTGCAACATGCACAGAAAAAAATGGATTAGTTTTATTGTTCCCAGCACAAACATTCCTTTGAAAGTTCTCCTGCACATTCACAGCATGGCAAAGCTGCAAGTGAAGCAAGTGCTAAATCAAATTCATGACTTTTCTCACACAGCCATGAGAAAAGGCACAGTTATACTGGAAAAAGCAACACCATCAGCCCCTGCAGATGAGAAAGACTGATTTACACCCCCTCTCACACTTATGTGGCCTCAGCAACAGCATTGGAATTGTATAAGCAGTATTTCACCACTGTTTGGTAGTTTCTTAGTTATGGACATAATTAGTAGTAATTCTTGAACAATTTATCAAGAGATTTATGGTAAGAAATACAAGAACAGGAATCAAGGTGTATTTGAAAAGAAAAGGTTGTGTTACTGGCTTCTCTAACAGGTTGGTGGAAAAATTACCTTTGTCTATGGAGACTGCATTTACCAGATGTTTGATATTTGAGACTTCTACAGGTGGCTGTTAAAGAGGGGAATTAGACATGATAACTTTTAGAGTAAATAATTTCTGTTACTTATTTGAAACACGATCTGGTATTTGCAGAATAATTAATGATGAGTCTAGCACAGTGGCTTTAAAGCGTCTTCAACAATGTCCAGCACTCAAATAGGTTCGGAAAGATAATCCTATCTATTGCTATGAAACAATTACTTTGGCTGTGCTTTTCATCATCCATTCATAAACTGAAAAGCTGAAACTGATGAAGTTGGAAAAAAAACACTTCTAGAAATGGGAATTTGAAACATTTCAACACATCTAAGATGAATTTATTTTACTATCCATTGCAGGTGAACAAACACCCTATCAACACCTCTTACCTGAAGAATGAAATTCACAGTAATAAGTCTCAGATTGTTTCCAACAGCAATGCAATATTTCCATGAGGCTGCTCTATACATGGTAAATAGGTAACTATGGAGACTGATGAACATTTAGCTGTAATCAGGGAAGAAAGAGTGGGAAAATAAAAGTTTTCTTTTTTCATTTGCATGCTTAGGATATGCTTATATGTGCTGATTTTTAACAGCTGTCTGCATCAGTTGAAGTGTGCACCCAAGCCAGGTCTAAAATCTGCAAATCCCACCTCAGGGAATTTTCAGGGAAAGAAATTAAAGTTACTGTAATGCTAAAAACTCCACTAACCGGATCCAGAGAGAGACCTTAGAAGGAAGAAACACTTCTTGAATACATATATATTTCATGCTCATTATTTTCCAGTCTATATGGGCAAGGAAAAATATATGGCTTGTGAGCTTAACACCTGCTGCAGCACTGCAGAGCAAAATGCAGAGGCAGAGGAGGACAGCATGAGGGGGGCTTACATCACTTGCTGCTGCTGGGCCTCCTTGCTCAGAGGCCTGAGCTGGGGAGATTGTTGGGGAATATATTTACTTTTGTATTCCTGAGTTGTTTCTCATTCAGTGGGAGCTCTGAACATGTGCTGTATCCATAGAGCCCCACTGACATCCATGGGGTAAAAGTACAGAAATCAGCCTCGCTAATGTAATCTCTTTTGTATTGCTGTCATTAGCTGGGAGCAAAAGCTCAAACAGAGAGATCCTAAGTTGTTGAGTGTGATCACAGCAGCTAAAAACTAAACAGGTGAATTTTGCAGCATCTAAAAAGTCACCTGCTGAGCAACAGAGAGGTACAGATTTGCAGCAGGCTGCTGTGAGTTGTGTGTGAAGTGGGAGGCATGGCGTGTTCACCTCATGGGTTTGTGCCAGTGGGTGCTGTACTTCTAGGGATAAACACCTAGCCATGCTTAACTATGAGAATTAAACTCAAAGGGATTCAAAGGAAAAAGAGCTTGAAAATAATCCTGAAAGAGGGCAGAGATCAAGTGGTAGGATCCTACAAGCCAATGGGATGCATGAATATGCCTAATTTTCTATCTGCAGCTGACTGCAACCTCTTCATTCAGCTTTGACCTCTGCACCTTCAGGTGAACACAAACATGAAGACAGCATGTGACTGGTATGGACCACCTCACTCCAGGTAAGCATTTTCCCTGTGGAAATTTGGCTTCTGAGACTCTGTGTCTTATTTTACATCTCAGTGAGCTCCATACTTGCAGCAGTTAAGTGGATTAGTGGAAGGTGTTTCACTGGCATTCTTAACAGATATTTTTCTGGAAGCTCTCCCCTCTAGACACACAAGTCTGAGCTAGTATTCCTGCTCTGGTTTTCCCCCTCCTTTGTAGCTGGTGGGGGGAAAACTGGAGCATAGATGGATGACTCCCTGCTCTATGGAGCACATTGACCTGGGACAAACCAATTTCCATTTCTCACTGCTGACACTTGAGTCAGCAGATGCAAGAATTTCAGTTGCAGGCATGCACGCTCTGTCAGCAGACTACACCTTTGGACCTGCTCAGGTCTTATTTCTAAGGCTGTGTTTAACCTGTCTGCAGCCTCAGGCTGTTTCCATGTTCATTTACACAGTAGAAGATGAGAACGTAAGTCACAAGGTAAATTCTATAGTTTTCTATCTGAAATTCTCCTCGTTATCAGGATCTGTTCCTCAGACAGAAAAATTGTTAACCAAGTCCTTTCCACTTGCATAATTTAGCACTCAAATTCTCACTCCAGAGTTTTTGCAGCAGATACTTCTCATTAATAACACATATACAGCCTCAGCATCATTAGGATGGCATCTAGCTAGAGGTCATCCCAAATTCTTTCATGAAACAGTTCTCCTTGGTGGAAGCTCATTCTGCCTACCTGTGTACCTCTGGTATTAAATTTTTAATGGCTTCAACTATTCTTTTCTTAAGTAATGCAGACACAAGGATTAGTCTTGGATCCTCACTTCCATAATTTCTTGTATATATATTTCAATATATATATATACACACCTACATACATTAGCTATACACATATATATTTTCAGTATGTATATATAAATATAAGATTCAGCTAAATATTCACAAATCCAGTCAGCCTGATGGGATTCATCCCAGATATTGAAAGACTTAATGAATATCATGTCAGTACTGCTCTCAACCATCTACCAAAGGTCTTGGGAGTCTGGGAAGGTCCCTGCTGACTCGAAGTTGGCCAGTGTTATTCCAATTTACAAGAAAAGACCTAGGCAACTACAGACCTACTAGTCTAACATCAGTTCCAGGAAGAAATATGGAGAAGATCATATAGGGTACTACTGAAAGGCATTGAAAGAGCAATGCAATGATCAGGTGCAGTCAACACGGTTTCACAAAGGGAAAGCTGTTCTACTGATTTGACCACTGCAATAAGGAAACCCACCTAGTAGATGAAGGGAAGGCAGTGGATGTAGTTTTTCTAGATTTTAATAAGGCTTTTGATAGTGTCCTTCACAGCATCTTTTTGGACAAGTAATGCAGCTGTGGATTCACAGTGTGCTGGGTGGATTCTACGGCTCAAACAATTGTAGTGAATGGGGCTTCACTTGACTGGTGACACTCACCAGTGCTGTTCCTCGGGGTTTAGCTCCAGGACTAGTCCTATTCAATGTATTTATCAATGAGCTGGATGCAGGAGTTGAATGCTCCATTGGCAATTTTGTTGATGATACCAAACCGGGAGGTATTATTTACTCTATAGAGGGGCAAGAGATAGGGTCCCTCAAACCTTCATCAGGGATGCTCAAACTTGATATTAGGAAGCATTCCTTTACCAAGAGTGTGATCAAACACTGGAACAGGTATCTTATTGTGGTGGGTGATGCCCCAGAGCCTGTCAGTGTTTAAGATGCTTTTGGATAATGCCCTTAATAATACGCTTTAACTTTTGGTCAGTCCTGAAGTGTCTGGGCACTTGGATTAGAGAATGGATTGTTGCTGATTCCTTTTACTGACCTATTCTATTCTATGCTATGATATATTATTCTATTCTATTCCAGTTTTGGAGGGGTTGGAAAACCTGTGCCCTACAGAGCATGATCTTGATAACAAACACACATAAATTTGACCTGCAGCATGACTACACTTTGTTTTATTTACCTGCTCTTCCAAACAGCAAAGATTTTATGAACAGAGCATTTTGTCATGCAGCTACCTCCCCATTGTCTGCTGAGGTGTGAAGCTTGGTGGAGAAAGTAACTATGCTTCCTCTGCAGGGATATCTGCTGGGTGACTGCTCTGATGTCTTTATTTATCCATTTAGATTTGTATTGCTGAGATATTATTTTTATAAATCACTGATGTGATCCTTTGCTCTCAAAATTGAGCTTTCAACACAAGCCAAGTGAAATACCATCAAACCCATCACCACTTGCAGTGATTTCCTTGTAGAGGGTTTGAAGAGCAGCCTGGTTGCATGCTGCCCTGGCAGCCACTCCTGCAACGCTAGAGGATACCTGGGGGCTGGAAAGAGCTCACACAATCCCCCTTTCTAAAAGTAATTTATCTAATGGATCCAAGGTGAGGTCTGAAGGCTTAAGGACCATTAACTTCACACTGTTTCCAGCTCCTCACTCTCTGACATGCACACACATATCAGAATTTATATCCAGACCCACCAGTTTCCTGAGGATGCAGCTGTGCCATTTCTGTCCACCTTTAAATAATTGCTATAGGGAAGACATTATGATGTGAATATGAGCATAAAATTCCTTCAAAATGTTACCAGTCTGTCCAAAACAGTACACTCTAACAGTAGAGGCAAATTGGGGGGTGATTTCCAGCAGGCAACTCCCATTGCCAGCAGAGCACAGTGTTCTGCATGTGCAACAAATTCATTTCTGCGGTGCCAAAGCCCCACAGAGTGTCTGCGATGACCAGGACCTTCACTGACTCCGCAGTGAACACAGGGAGGCACAGCAGTGGTGCCTCTTGCTTGGTCCCTGCCCAGGCAGAGCTGCCAGGGAGTTTCAGAGCCCATGTGGAACGGCCAACATGGACAGAGAGTGCAAGGGGAACACAGGGCAAAAATCATCTTTGTAGCCACCGTGGTCTCCAGTGTCCGCTGCACCAGGGAGACCATTGAGAGGAGCAAGGCGGACTGAGAATTGTATGCGCCAGTTAGAAAAGCCTTGCTATTAACAGTGTCTCCTCCCAGGCAGCCACAAATTCACAACTAGTGGAATTTACAAATGCTCTAGGTCTGCTCGAGTTCAAGAAGAGCTTGCACAATCCAGATACTGGAATAGGCCAGTTTATTGAAACAAATCCAAAACAGGTTGAGGGTTTCTGAATGCACTAACTAGACGTATTAATGTAAATACAAAAGCACTAACTAGAGTGTTCCTATAAATATAGTGTAAATTCACTAACTAGAGGTTCCTAAGATATATATATATCTTAAATGCAGTACTTATGAGGTATTAATAAACAGAGCAAAAGCACTGATTACAGGGTACTAATATATACTGTAAATGCACTAACTACGGGAGGTTAATATATACAGGGTCTGTCAAGAGGCCCCACAAGCAGAGCTCTGTGCATCGGGATCTCTTTCAATGGCCGTGGATCGGCAGTTGTTTGAGCCGATCCAGCAGGCAATTGTACTCCTGCACGGCCTTCCTGTGGGCATTCGGACTGCTGGCCAGGTGCTCAAAGAGGTTGGGTGCTTCAGCCACCCGGAAGCCTGAGGGCAAGCTGATCTCCATTGGGAAGCTCGCATTGCCGACGACAAAGTGGTGAAGCTGTTTTGTGTCCAGCGAGCAGCGGAGGTACTTCAGGATATCCATCAGTCGCTGCCCGAAATCCCTCCTGCGCCACTGCGTCAGGGGTACGGTGTTCAGGAGGTGCATCACCACAGTCTTCAGGGCGTAGCTGGAAAAACCTACACCCATCAGGAAGCCCGTGAGGAGCTGCAGGCACTTGCAGTGACAACTGTCCTGGGGGGCCTGCCTGGAAATGTGCCTGAAGAAGTTTGCCTCCGCCACGGCGTAAGTCTCCGGCCACCTTGTGCTTGGGATGCCTGCTTCTGCAGGCTGGCTGCACACAAAGATATCGGAGTCTCCTTGCCGCACTGCAAAGATCATCTCAGCCGTGAAGCTTTCCTTGTCTTTGCGCAGCTGAAATTTACAGGAGCGGCTGCAGGGCTGCAGCGTTAAACGCCAGTGGCGGGATTGAGGCAAGAGCAGCCAGGCTACTCTCACAAATCCATAGAACCAGTGGACAGTCTTCTCCACATCTAGATAGGAGCCGGTGCAGAGGGTGTGCAGGAGGCTGGGGTCCTGTCTCCTTCTCAGCTCCACCTCGGGGTGGTGGAGAAAACACAGCATGTCCTCCCCCAGCCTCTCCCTCGTGCAGGTGCACAGCAGCTCCACACGGACACAGAAGTTCCTCTGGAGCATCCCTGCAGCGTCCAGCTCCAGGTGGAAGGCATGTCCTGGAGGGGGGCTCAGGGGTACAAGCACACGGTACACAACATCTTGTGCACGCCTGGGACTCCAGCCTTCAAAGGCGCTGCCCACCCCAACAGCTTGTTGCGGCACCGGGTAGAAACCGTTGGACAAGCCTTGTCCAAAGATGTGGGTCAGTTTGTCCATCAGGTCCGTTATCAGCTGACAGCCTTTGTCCAGATCCAGAACAGGCAAATGCATGCGCTCCTCTAGACGGCTTCCAAGCTTCCTTTTGGCATTGTGGTTGTCATCTTTTCTGTTTGCCTTCTCCTGATTGTCTTCTGTATTTCCGGCCGCATTGGCTTCCCCCGCCTTTTCGTCCTGGTTCACTTCTTCCTTTGCAGTGTTGTAGCCTTCTTTTGCTTCATTTCCAGCACTGCTTTCTGCCTTTGCATCGCTGTTACTGCCTTCTTCATTTTCCCCCTTTTTGTCGTCTTCCACATTTGCAGCAACGCTACTTTCTGTTTCTTCCTTTGCAACCACGTTGCCTCCTCCTTCTTCTTCCTCCTCCACCAATCTGCTGCTTGTGGCCACCGTTGCCTGGATCGCGCCCCATTTTCACAAGTGCAAAGTGCAGGGCCAAGTGAAGGACGGCGATTCCAGCCAGAGCCCAGAACTGCCACCCGAGCAGGCCTCCCCAGGCCCCACCACTCTGCTCCTGCTTCATCTGCTCCAGCTCCTGAATCAGCCGAGTCATCTGCTGGTTCAGGTACTCAGCACGCTGCTGCATGCGCTCCAGTGCGGCCTCATCCAGCCCATCCCCGGCCTGCTGCGGGTACAGGATGAGGCCTGGCACAAGCAAGAGAAGGAGCGGAATGGCAAGCATGGTCTGGGGCAGTGAGCAGGGCTTCAGTGGGGATGGGAGGGAGCTACTGCTAGGGCAAGTGGGGACAGGAGCCCCTGGGATCTGAAGGCAGGAAAGAGGCAGCCAGGCAGCTGGCAGGCTGCCAGGCCTGTGCCTCTGCCCCGGCGCTGGCACAAAGGCTCTGGCCAAAGGCACTCCTGCCAGGGACTGGCTGCTGGATGCCCTCTGAGAAGCTGCTCCCCGGCTACTCGCGCTGCTGCCGAGGTCCTGGTTCCGCGTTCAGCACAACCTCCTGTCTGCGTGCACGCTCGCCGCTCGCCGAGGCTGTACTGAGGCTGCGTTACCTGCTGCTTCTGATGGCAGCTGTCCCCATTGTGACACTGGGGCTCTGATGTCACAGGTGCCACAGTGCATCCCGGCCACGCCAGGCCATCGCCAACATCCACCTCTACCTCGGCTCTGGGACTCCTAGTGGCCCCTGGCAGCCAAAGCCCTGACACGCGCAAAGAGCAGACCCGCTGGTCATAATGGATGCTCTGGGGATTCCCTTGGCAAAACAGGCAGAAGCCCCCAAAGCCTTTTCAATCTGACATTGGGTGACAGGACTCATGAATGCTTTGTTCCTGGAAATCTCCTGCTGTGAGATAGAACTGGTTGCCTCGCTGCTGACCTCTGTGCTTTTGGGGTCACGCCGGGACCTAAGTGACACTCTTGGGCGTGTGGTGGCAAATGTCCAGGAGGTGACATGGGGCTTCACCATGGCAGGATCTCTGTTCCCACTGTGCCACTGCGAGAGGACATTGATTCCCTGGAGACACTTCCCAGGGCTGATGAGCAGCTGTGGAAGGGGGGGGCGGGGGGATGATTTCCAGCAGGCAACTCCCATTGCCAGCAGAGCACAGTGTTCTGCATGTGCAACAAATTCATTTCTGCGGTGCCAAAGCCCCGCAGAGTGTCTGCGATGAGCAGGACCTTCACTGTCTCCGCAGTGAACACAAGGAGGCACAGCAGTGGTGCCTCTTGCTTGGTCCCTGCCCAGGCAGAGCTGCCAGGGAGTTTCAGAGCCCATGTGGAACGGCCAACATGGACAGAGAGTGCAAGGGGAACACAGGGCAAAAATCATCTTTGTAGCCACCGTGGTCTCCAGTGTCCGCTGCACCAGGGACACCATTGAGAGGAGCAAGGCGGACTGAGAATTGTATGCGCCAGTTAAAAAAGCCTTGCTTTTAACAGTGTCTCCTCCCAGGCAGCCACAAATTCACAACTAGTGGAATTTACAAATGCTCTAGGTCTGCCCGAGTTCAAGAAGAGCTTGCACAATCCAGATACTGGAATAGGCCAGTTTATTGAAACAAATCCAAAACAGGTTGAGGGTTTCTGAATGCACTAACTAGACGTATTAATGTAAATACAAAAGCACTAACTAGAGTGTTCCTATAAATATAGTGTAAATTCACTAACTAGAGGGTCCTAAGATATATATATATCTTAAATGCAGTACTTATGGGGTATGAATAAACAGAGCAAAAACACCGATTACAGGGTACTAATATATACTGTAAATGCACTAACTACGGGAGGTTAATATATACAGGGTCTGTCAAGAGGCCCCACAAGCAGAGCTCTGTGCATCGGGATCTCTTTCAATGGCCGTGGATCGGCAGTTGTTTGAGCCGATCCAGCAGGCAATTGTACTCCTGCACGGCCTTCCTGTGGGCATTCGGACTGCTGGCCAGGTGCTCAAAGAGGTTGGGTGCTTCAGCCACCCGGAAGCCGGAGGGCAAGCTGATCTCCATCGGGAAGCTCGCATTGCCGACGACAAAGTGGAGAAGCTGTTTTGTGTCCAGCGAGCAGCGGAGGTACTTCAGGATATCCATCAGTCGCTGCCCGAAATCCCTCCTGCGCCACTGCGTCAGGGGTACGGTGTTCAGGAGGTGCATCACCACAGTCTTCAGGGCGTAGCTGGAAAAACCTACACCCATCAGGAAGCCCGTGAGGAGCTGCAGGCACTTGCAGTGACAACTGTCCTGGGGGGCCTGCCTGGAAATGTGCCTGAAGAAGTTTGCCTCCGCCACGGCGTAAGTCTCCGGCCACCTTGTGCTTGGGATGCCTGCTTCTGCAGGCTGGCTGCACACAAAGATATCGGAGTCTCCTTGCCGCACTGCAAAGATCATCTCAGCCGTGAAGCTTTCCTTGTCTTTGCGCAGCTGAAATTTACAGGAGCGGCTGCAGGGCTGCAACGTTAAACGCCAGTGGCGGGACTGAGGCAAGAGCAGCCAGGCTACTCTCACAAATCCATAGAACCAGTGGACAGTCTTCTCCACATCTAGATAGGAGCCGGTGCAGAGGGTGTGCAGGAGGCTGGGGTCCTGTCTCCTTCTCAGCTCCTCCTCGGGGTGGTGGAGAAAACACAGCATGTCCTCCCCCAGCCTCTCCCTCGTGCAGGTGCACAGCAGCTCCACACGGACACAGAAGTTCCTCTGGAGCATCCCTGCAGCGTCCAGCTCCAGGTGGAAGGCATGTCCTGGAGGGGGGCTCAGGGGTACAAGCACACGGTACACAACATCTTGTGCACTCCCGGGACTCCAGCCTTCAAAGGCGCTGCCCACCCCAACAGCTTGTTGCGGCACCGGGTAGAAACCGTTGGACAAGCCTTGTCCAAAGATGTGGGTCAGTTTGTCCATCAGGTCCGTTATCAGCTGGCAGCCTTTGTCCAGATCCAGAACAGGCAAATGCATGCGCTCCTCTAGACGGCTTCCAAGCTTCCTTTTGGCATTGTGGTTGTCATCTTTTCTGTTTGCCTTCTCCTGATTGTCTTCTGTATTTCCGGCCGCATTGGCTTCCCCCGCCTTTTCGTCCTGGTTCACTTCTTCCTTTGCAGTGTTGTAGCCTTCTTTTGCTTCATTTCCAGCACTGCTTTCTGCCTTTGCATCGCTGTTACTGCCTTCTTCATTTTCCCCCTTTTTGTCGTCTTCCACATTTGCAGCAACGCTACTTTCTGTTTCTTCCTTTGCAACCACGTTGCCTCCTCCTTCTTCTTCCTCCTCCACCAATCTGCTGCTTGTGGCCACCGTTGCCTGGATCGCGCCCCATTTTCACAAGTGCAAAGTGCAGGGCCAAGTGAAGGACGGCGATTCCAGCCAGAGCCCAGAACTGCCACCCGAGCAGGCCTCCCCAGGCCCCACCACTCTGCTCCTGCTTCATCTGCTCCAGCTCCTGAATCAGCCGAGTCATCTGCTGGTTCAGGTACTCAGCACGCTGCTGCATGCGCTCCAGTGCGGCCTCATCCAGCCCATCCCCGGCCTGCTGCGGGTACAGGATGAGGCCTGGCACAAGCAAGAGAAGGAGCGGAATGGCAAGCATGGTCTGGGGCAGTGAGCAGGGCTTCAGTGGGGATGGGAGGGAGCTACTGCTAGGGCAAGTGGGGACAGGAGCCCCTGGGATCTGAAGGCAGGAAAGAGGCAGCCAGGCAGCTGGCAGGCTGCCAGGCCTGTGCCTCTGCCCCGGCGCTGGCACAAAGGCTCTGGCCAAAGGCACTCCTGCCAGGGACTGGCTGCTGGATGCCCTCTGAGAAGCTGCTCCCCGGCTACTCGCGCTGCTGCCGAGGTCCTGGTTCCGCGTTCAGCACAACCTCCTGTCTGCGTGCACGCTCGCCGCTCGCCGAGGCTGTACTGAGGCTGCGTTACCTGCTGCTTCTGATGGCAGCTGTCCCCATTGTGACACTGGGGCTCTGATGTCACAGGTGCCACAGTGCATCCCGGCCACGCCAGGCCATCGCCAACATCCACCTCTACCTCGGCTCTGGGACTCCTAGTGGCCCCTGGCAGCCAAAGCCCTGACACGCGCAAAGAGCAGACAGGCTGGTCATAATGGACGCTCTGGGGATTCCCTTGGCAAAACAGGCAGAAGCCCCCAAAGCCTTTTCAATCTGACATTGGGTGACAGGACTCATGAATGCTTTGTTCCTGGAAATCTCCTGCTGTGAGATAGAACTGGTTGCCTCGCTGCTGACCTCTGTGCTTTTGGGGTCACGCCGGGACCTAAGTGACACTCTTGGGCGTGTGGTGGCAAATGTCCAGGAGGTGACATGGGGCTTCACCATGGCAGGATCTCTGTTCCCACTGTGCCACTGCGAGAGGACATTGATTCCCTGGAGACACTTCCCAGGGCTGATGAGCAGCTGTGGAAGGGGGGGGCGGGGGGGTGATTTCCAGCAGGCAACTCCCATTGCCAGCAGAGCACAGTGTTCTGCATGTGCAACAAATTCATTTCTGCGGTGCCAAAGCCCCGCAGAGTGTCTGCGATGAGCAGGACCTTCACTGTCTCCACAGTGAACACAAGGAGGCACAGCAGTGGTGCCTCTTGCTTGGTCCCTGCCCAGGCAGAGCTGCCAGGGAGTTTCAGAGCCCATGTGGAACGGCCAACATGGACAGAGAGTGCAAGGGGAACACAGGGCAAAAATCATCTTTGTAGCCACCGTGGTCTCCAGTGTCCGCTGCACCAGGGACACCATTGAGAGGAGCAAGGCGGACTGAGAATTGTATGCGCCAGTTAAAAAAGCCTTGCTTTTAACAGTGTCTCCTCCCAGGCAGCCACAAATTCACAACTAGTGGAATTTACAAATGCTCTAGGTCTGCCCGAGTTCAAGAAGAGCTTGCACAATCCAGATACTGGAATAGGCCAGTTTATTGAAACAAATCCAAAACAGGTTGAGGGTTTCTGAATGCACTAACTAGACGTATTAATGTAAATACAAAAGCACTAACTAGAGTGTTCCTATAAATATAGTGTAAATTCACTAACTAGAGGGTCCTAAGATATATATATATCTTAAATGCAGTACTTATGGGGTATGAATAAACAGAGCAAAAACACCGATTACAGGGTACTAATATATACTGTAAATGCACTAACTACGGGAGGTTAATATATACAGGGTCTGTCAAGAGGCCCCACAAGCAGAGCTCTGTGCATCGGGATCTCTTTCAATGGCCGTGGATCGGCAGTTGTTTGAGCCGATCCAGCAGGCAATTGTACTCCTGCACGGCCTTCCTGTGGGCATTCGGACTGCTGGCCAGGTGCTCAAAGAGGTTGGGTGCTTCAGCCACCCGGAAGCCGGAGGGCAAGCTGATCTCCATCGGGAAGCTCGCATTGCCGACGACAAAGTGGAGAAGCTGTTTTGTGTCCAGCGAGCAGCGGAGGTATTTCAGGATATCCATCAGTCGCTGCCCGAAATCCCTCCTGCGCCACTGCGTCAGGGGTACGGTGTTCAGGAGGTGCATCACCACAGTCTTCAGGGCGTAGCTGGAAAA